AAAAAAGTATATTCAAATTAGTTTATGTATGAGGATATTTAAATAGAAGCTTGTTTAGAGAAAACAAACTCCCGTTAACGTCTGCGTGACTCCTGCACGACTTTACAACTCACTCAAAGTTAGTTTTGTCTTAGCTAATTAAATATTAGTTATTTATCGAAATCCCGCAAAAAAACTGATTATTTTTTATCAATTGATAATTGTTTTCTGCAGGGTTTGGCCATTTGCCCTTTCAGTCACTCAAATAAATGACCATGTGTTGATTTTTTAAATATTCTCAATGTTTTTCGAACTAAATATTTTTTTGTAATTTTTCTATCAAAATATCGTCCAAGCTTTAACCAAAACCATATAAATCACAGTTACAAATTTTATTGAAAATTCAGGAAAATTCAACAAAATTTCAACTTTTTCAACTGAATCTTTAGAACATTGTGGGTATGCAGTTTTACAGCCACCACAATTTTAGTTTAATGAAGTGCAAGTTTCAAAAGGCTAAAAAGCGCTTTGATTTTTGAAAAGTTTTTTTGTGAAGGATTTTTGCACTTTTTTCCATATAAGCATAAATTTCTTATGGAACAAAACGCGGGGGACCGTTAGTAATAAAATTTCAAAAAATCAACGCCAGTTTTTGTAAATTGCACTTGTTATATAAAAAAAAAACGAAAAAGTAGTTTAAAAAAAAAATCTCAAAAATCAACGCGCCAGTCGTTTGAAATTTGCACTTCATTAGACTAAAACTGCAAGAATGTTCTAAAAATTCAGATGAAAAAGTTGAAATTTTGATGAAAATTTTTTGAGTTTTCCTCAATTATGTATAAAGCTTGAAACTGTGATTTATATGGTTTTGGTTATAGCTTGGACGCTATTTTTATAGAAAAAAAAATTAGCTCGAAAAAGCATTACGATTAAAAAAAAAAATCAACACATGGTCATTTGTTTGAGTCACTGTATATATGTATGAGACTACATACGTTATATGTGTACATACAGTATATGCGTGTTGGAAAACAAGTGTGTGTGTGTGTATGCATACATATATGTATTCAATGTATTTTTACGTTTGTTCGACTTTTCAATTTTATTTTTCTCTTGGTGCCTTGTAAAGGCAATAGGGTGATTTGTTTTCACACAAACAAAATAGCATCCTCATCTGCAGAAAAACAAACTTTAGTCAATTGCTGCTATTAAAATTAATTTACTGCTACCACAATGTGCTACTGAAATTATTTTCCATTTGAAACTGTTACAGAGAGTCTATAAATAATTGTCTATAAATGATTATGTGTATGTTGAAAAATATACTGAAAAGAAGCCATAACTTCCAAATGTTTGGAAATAAATGTAAGGTATTGGTTTTATATAAATAGCATGATACAAAAAAAAGGAGATAATTTCACTTTGAAAATTTTTGACACGGCGAATTAATATAAGGCATTGGCATGTATTTTGTTTTTGCTTTGGCGGCATATACTGGCAAAATCTGTATGAGTGTGCGTGGAAATTCGAACAAAATTTTTCAATTTGACATTCGAAGCCGTGCGGCGAAACACATACACAAAATCAGCTGATCTAGTAACACCAACTTATATAAATTCGCCTTGATTTTTGACTTAAACCGGGCTTATTGAAGTTTCTACTTTTCGAAAAATTGCTCATGTAGCACTGCCATCTCAACAAATTATTGTTTTGGAACTTTTAATATTTTTTTTAAGGATTTTTTTATGCATTAAAAAATAAGCCTATTACATCTTGCGAGACATTACCACACTGAACCAAAAAACCATCTTTGGATGAAAGAAAGACCTTCCTTACTTTAAGGTCGAAAATTCTCCCGAATGAGTAGCTTTTATTTGGAATGTGTAAATACGTACACGAAAATATGCAACCGTGGATGTAATCTATCATTTTGAAGAAATATTGGGCATGAAAAGAGGATAAGACTTCTTTAGTGCAATTTCGTTCCCCATTTTTCTTCATTTTTATTGCTTTAATATCCTGGACAAAAAAAAAGTGAAAGCTAACAGTAGTTTAATAGTATTAGATAACCGTTTTGTTACAAAAATAAATATATAATCATTTATCAATAATATTAATATATCTTCTGTACTCGGCATACACAACTATGTATATGTATGTATGTATGTGTGTAAGTTCATTGTATGATTATATGTACAGATACATAAGTACGTATGTTCTCCCATAAAATAAAGCATATTGGCCAGTGTTTTTTGTCTGCGAACTCAGCAGATTGTGTGCGCGTCTATTCAAGCTTATGGAAAAACTTTCGCAGTTGCATACACAAATATGTACATACAAATAATACACTTGCGGCATTGACTGACTTTATGTAAACAAACAAATAAACACATTTCGGTTAGAAGTTTACATACATCCATCATCCATAGTTACCGGCTAAATATGGTAATGCGAAGAGCAAAAGGAATAAGAAAAATAATTATTTTTAGCTCAAGTGAAAAAAGTATTTTATGGAATATGAAATTATAAAATCTTGAAAAGGGTCTTTATCTTGGATTAAGGGCCGAATTCCACTAAAATATTTTAGCTATGCATTCATATTCACAGTTGTATGACATTCAATCGTTTGTGAAACCACGCAACCTCTTTGATCTGACCTATCTCAATTAAGTTTTGAGTTCATACACCAACTTTTTAAACTTACTAGATACCCTATACCAAGCCATACATTGTATTTATGTAGATGGCACTTGGCTGCCAGACTGTTTGCACATTAATAATACATAATCGTAAATATGTCTGCGTCTTTTCAGGCAGGGCGCATTAATGGTTTTCCACTATTTTCAATTAATTACGATTAATAGTGATGGAAATTTATCTGGTTTAATGCAAAAGCTGTTTATTGAGCATAAATTATATATTTACCGAATCACCAAACAAGGTAAGTGGAATGTAAAATTAATCGCAAATTTATTTAATGACATTATAAAAGTTTATGCTAATCGGGCTAGTAAAAACTAAGTGTTTTGTTAATACAAAATTAATGGAATGACTGGATATTATTCGATATACAATTTGCTTTTATTGATGACGGGGAATATTCTGATGGATAAAAAAGTCAGTTGAGCCCAATATCTAATTAGGAGTAAGTGGCAGGCGAAAAGCGAAAAAAAAAAATGTTATACAATTGACTTTCACACGCATTATAATTTATTAATTTATTATTTGTATGTTTTTTTTTTTCGTTATTTGCCTTTTGCTGCTTTCGTCGGGTATGATATATTTCGAAATGAATTTTCCAAACCAAATGTGATAAGGGATAAACAAAATCCTTTTATAATTCTTTTACGTTGCACCTACAATTTCCGAAAAGTTCGGATTTGAACACAAAGGTCACGAAAAATTCTTAATGGTTCCAGAAAAATCGCGAAAATTGCTGAAAAAAAAATCTAGGAAACTGCCAAAACCATACAGTAGACAGTCCAACGAGATTCTACCAGAATCAACTTATTCAATTGGCTCTAGTTTTTTAGATATTTGAGACTTAAGGTATCAAAAAACGAATTTTTAGCAAATTTTGAACTACTCTATGAATATATAGACGACGAATAGAATAGCTGAAATATTGTGCTTTTAGCTCCAAAGTTAAAAAGTTGAATCCTAATACATATGGAACTAAAAAAATTTTTTCTAAAATAACAGTTTTATTTTTTCTCAAATCCATTTAAATTTGTTGTATCTCAATTTACTTGTCAAATGTTGCTAAAACTCTTGAATAATTGGAAAAATTTAAGTACATATTTAAGTTGAAATGCTGTACCTTTTGGCGTTACACTCATTCGAAGAATAATAAATTCAAAATTTTACGTCTTTTGTGTTCCGTTGTGTAGGGGAAAATACAAACGGACTCCACCTGTATGAATTCGCGTTGCGCAATATTGTTGGTAAATTCTCATAACAAGATATTTTAATTTTTATGTAGAAAATTCCACGAAATCTACTTGTGTTAAAAATGCCTTGCTTAAAATGTAAATGGTTTTTAAAGGCCCAGTATACAAATTTGAGAATAAATCTTTAACATTCATGCCTACTGTGCGTATACATACACTGACGGCAAAAAGTATTGCCACAGAGGAGTTTTCAACAGTTTTGTTTTACTTTTTTCCTTAAATTTTTTATAAAAACATGGTTTATACTACCACAAAAAAAAACATATAAATATAATAAGCATTGTGCAAAACTCAGGAAAATCGGTTAATTTTTGGGAATCGTTTTTTTCTTTTTTCTTTTTAATTTGTGTGTATGGAACAAAATGCGTGAAGAAAATTACACAAATCAACGGTAATCAAACTTGCACTTTGTTATACTAAATTTTAATGGGCTACAAAGCTGCCTTATTCAAAAAAAATCTGATTAAATAGTTGAAAATTTTCATGAAAATTCATTGAATTTTCCTGAGTTTAAAAATTGTATTTTTTATTTTTTTATTGTTGTGGTATGAACCATATTTTTAGCGGAAAAAATAAAAATTAAATGTGTGTGAAAAGTTTTCTGTTCCAATACTCCTTGGTGTGAGTGTAAATATTTTTAGATATACTTCAGATGAACTTTAAGCATATTTTTTGTAAAAAGTATTTCTAAGCAAACAAAAACACAACTGACTTCAATGCTGTTTAAAAAATTCAGGAGTACCGTTAATTTCTTTATGAACAAATGATCGGAACTAAACCAAAGCCATTAGAAAAATATCGAAACGGTTCACGTGATCCAAATACATCAAAAAAATATTCCGATGAATTGATAAGCTTCCTGCTTTTTTAAAGTCGGTAAAAAATTTCAGGAAATAATAGCCCTATATTCTTCTTTGGCTTAAGTGAGCTGTTTTGAAATTCAAATTATTTAAATGTGTTCAGTATTTGGGCAGTTTATTTCAAACAAAGATAATTTATTTCAATCTCAAAAATTACAATTAGTCCAAATGAAAATGGTATGTAAAAATACTAAAATGTTTGATTACTCACCTTCAATCTGGCGGGAGTTAAAATTTGTTTGCACGCAATCGGGTGAACAATCGCAAAGTAACGTTCCACGCATATGACCACAAGTATGAAAATTGATGCAGTGTAGCTGAGCGAGTGCACGAACTGATACATGTGGCAGAGAAATTCGCCAAAGACCCAGCTGAGTGAAAAAAGAAAGCAAAAAGTTTGTTTGTACATAATCAAGGAAAAACAAATATTGAATTATACAAAAGTGCGAGTTTCTTAGCAACTATACCAAGTTTTTGATCAAAAATCAGGCGGGATTTTTTTTTTTTTCAAAAAACTCAGCTTGCAACGTATGTGATGTCAAGGGAAGTCAACCGCCAGGCAGCGTGTGAGTCAGTGATGCATCCAAATCACTTGTCACGTACAGCGCAACAATAAACGAGTGAGCGCACGCAACGCACACAACTCGACTAAAGACAAGTAGTCGTATTTTATGCATGGCGGATTAAGTTACACATATGCATACACACATACTCAACTAACCGTAAGCCAAGTGTAGTTCACCGGGAGCGCAGCGAAAGTGAGCTCGTGCGCCACTGGACACCATGCCGTATGCGCAATATTTAATTAACATAAATTCTAGCAAACGCAAGATGCATGTGCGTCCTCTACAAACAGTGCCAAAGACATAAGCAGGCAAATGGCAAAAGAAAAACAACGAATGGCAATGCATTCCACTGTACAAATACAACATATATGTATGTACACAATGTAAGAAAAAGAATTTAATTTGAGAAGGAAGTCGCATACATATGACTCACGTCACAGCAGCTGTCACCGCGGCAACATAAAACCAAAAAATAAAAACGAAGAAAAACTTTGAAGACAAGCTCCTTACATACATACATAGTTGTGTGCAATTTTGTTGCATTGCTGCAGCAGCGGCGACAAGCTTACATTTCTCATAATACGTAATTGCAATAGCGTCGCACTAATGCCAGCGGATGCCATTGTTGGCTGGCTGATTCTTGGAAACGGAGAAACAGTTGTGGCAGAGGAGAGTCGCAGCGAAGTAGTAAGAAAATCTTGCCATCAGAACAAGCCGCAAATTCGCGGAAAAAGTGTTATATGGAAATGCAAAACAGAAATATGAAATACGACAGCTGTGCGCTGTTTGTTTGTTCATCTCGAACATTAAATGTCTTTGCTTCAGCCAAGGCAGTTAAACGATTCGCTGTGCTACAAATGGCGTTTTTTTTTTTTTAAATTGAAGAAATCTTTTTGCAAATGACGCTACTGTAAACTTGTTATAGTTTCAAATTTATCTAATATTTTTTAAAACTTTCATTGATGTGAATTTTTATTTTTAGCTAAGGGCGGCACATCAGTTGACGCAAAATAATTCTTGAATTAAATATTAAAGCAAAAACAGGCGCATATAAAATAACGCACATGAAGACCTTTCACGCAAATGATGGTGAGTCCCTTGTGGCTCAGCTCCTTAAAGCCATCAACCACCATCATTCACCCACCAACTCAATTTTACTTTCTGAGAGCAGAAGTGGCCTAACACAAAATTATTTGTTTTTTGTATAATGAATTAAAAAACGAAGAATTTAAAAATAAAAGTCGTTCATTCTTTAATTTTAAGGTACATAGCTAAATAGCTTACCCTTAAATTAAAGAAAAGGTGACGTTTATTTTAAAATTTGTGACATTAGAAACTATCGTAAGAAGTTAACTATCAAAAAAATTGCGGGTTACGCCACTTCTGCTCTCATGGCCTCATATATAGTACTAAAAAGTACTAATTTAATATTTTTTAATGATCTCCGCCCAAAGATTTTATCTCAGTTCAGAAGCATTCGACAGCTGGACCTCGTTAAAATAAAGTTTTTATCATGAATCTTTTTTATGAAAAATTTCCTAAGACTATAGAAAATTCAAGGTTTCTTTTCAGATCTGTCGACACATTTAGGTTATTTTATGAAATTTCAAAAACCATGTTTCATCAAAATCTAAATTTTCGTAGCTATTACTTCCGGCATTTTTTACCTACTACACATCGATAAGTAGCATTTTCCCATTGAAGTGCTGCTTGCGTTCAATGTAATAAGGAGATACACTTCGAATGAATGTACACGTTTTTGAACTGTTTGAATAGGGCTCGTTTGGTATTACCTAGTCGCCTAAAAATTAAATCGGTGCGAAACTTGTCCGAGATCGTATACAGACTAAAAGCGTACACGCACTCCGATTGATTGGCCGTGAGCTGTCCTAACGTTCACAGCACTTCGCAGCCATACTGTGTGGGTAGTAATTGAGTAGCTTTATGAACTCCAAATGGCTTGATTATTGGTTCTAGCTTCCACCATACCCACAATGGGTACAGCCTCATAAATTTTTTGGAAAAAAAATTAGAATTAGAATTTCCACATGTAACATTTATGGACATAAATCAAGATTTAAAAAAAAAAAACGAAAACTTTGCGTGCCCGATTTTTTTTTTAAAGCATACTTTCCATGTCAACTTAACCCCAAAAATGCCTTAAAAATACCACAAATGCCATCATCACTACATATATGAGATTACCCTAAAAGTCGCAAATATGCGCCAGATTTTTTTGTTCAGAAATCGAAGGAAAATATTTCGGTCCATCAAAAGTCTCAAAATTAACATTTTATAAATTTTCGTTTTTCTTTCTCATTAGTAAGTGCTGTGTTTTCACAAGAACCTACAACAAAAACAAAAGTTATAAGAAAATCGCATTGCTTAAGTGAACAAAAATCTCCATCAGTTTTAGTTGAATAAATTTCTTTTGACTTTTGTTGCTTTTATTTTGTATAAAACTGCCAATTTCCTACAAAATTATAATCAACTTTTCTTATTCAAATATCATTTTCTAGGCTAAACCATTTAAATATGAAAATTTAATAATCAAAAAATTGTATATTTTCCCCCTAAATATCTAGATCCTACTGTGGCCATTCTGAAAGAAAACCTTAGGAGTTGCTCTATGTCCACCCCAGATGTAGAAAACCAACAATCTACATACATATATATAATGACCCGCCTTTCATACTTTTACCACGATAACATTTTTGGGGCTCCTTCTGAATCGTCTTTGCGATACCCAACTTTTTTTTATGCCGAACAGGATTCCGAACCTACAATCAGGGGATTTGAAAACCTCGAAAGTTTTCGAAGCTATTTTTGGGATTTCACCTTTTTTGCAACCTAGTAAACAATGGCGAATTTCAGATATTTGGCAGTTCAGTGAGAGTTTGTATGTACAGGGTGGGGGGACAAATAAGACCTACCATCCATATTTCATAGGTCCATAGTTTGCCTAGCAGTATGCGCAGTCGCTCCATCTTATTGTAACTAAAAATTAGAATGCTGTTCTTTAAGAAGCCCCAGACTAGTTCGCCGCGAAAACTTTCGACGCGAAAAGCGTCTTTCATACAATTGTTGACAGTTGTTTTTCGTGGCTGAAAAAGTTTATTCGAGCTTTTCGAGCCATTTTCGAGTTTAAGGAAATCCCCTAAATATGTATCATTTGTAAATATAGCGTTCCGGTAGTTAAAATGGACCACTCGACTGCCAACCCTGCAATTGGGCACCCGGGGGTTAAGGAGAGTCGCTAGATTCGACAACCTCGTGGCCTATAATAGTAAGATTGTCACCAAATCTGGGGTTACCTCGTTATATTACGCTTCTTTTGCAACCTGTAAAGCGTTTGAAACCCAGCAAGGTTTCTTATTACATTATTATTTTTTACAGTATATGTAAATTCCATTTGAAACTGGGATATTTTGCTTAGTTTATTTAAAGGACCAAGTAGTGTAAAAGTTTGCTAAGACATCTCAAACCAGCATTAGTATTCACTTACTGCAATTACCCTCATTTCACACACACGTGCATGCATATATATATATATATATATCTCCATGCCAAATATCTCCTCCTCTAACTGGATATATTTCTTGCAAAATACACAGCAGCATCTGCTGGAACCTTGCTCAACAATGACACTCTAAACAACTTGATGCCGCCTATTGGTAGACAGCCAAGAACTCGAAAAGCATCATAACGAGCAAACGATGAACAAATTTGATGAATGGTAAAAAGTTGAAAGTCTAAGTTTCCTAGGCCCGACTATGGAAAGGATAAGTAATATAGGTTTTGATATTTGTGTCTATTTGTATTATTTAATTTACTAAGTTTTCTGAAAATTTCCTTTTCACATTAGCAATCTTTTTGTTTTGTTTTATGAGAAAAGTTTATGTCACGCCACATGCCAACAATACGTTGATGATGCAAATATTTCATAATTGAAAGGCAAATTCGCCATCCTTATCACAATGCAACCCTCGTACATATCGAGGGCTTATATCCAATACCCTCTCTCTGCACGTTTCACAAAAAATGAGATTCTGGTATAAAAATCCACTTAAGGCTTAACTGTCATCGGTGATATTAATGCTGACCTTGTCCAACGCTTGTCTTGCTTTACTACTAAATTTGCAAAATCGGAATTAACATCAGAGATGACAGGTAAGTCGCAAATGGGTTCTAACATGACAAAGTAGTTTTTGTGCAGAATGCGAATAGAGGGTATTAAATATAAGCGCTGGATATGTAAGTATATACAATTATATATCCATATATACATATGTACGAGTATATCAAATTATCTACAGCTATAAATTTACGCAAATGCGTTTTCACGCACATACATACATAAATACATACATAAATACATCACTATTAGCATCATTGTCGTCTTCACTCTTTTATCAGACGATACCGAAAAGTCTCATACGCTTGAATGCCATGACAAATGTTGCTCATCCGCCATGCCGCCACAAATTGGTTAGCGAAGTAAGCAGATTTATGCGCTTCGTCTGCGGCAAATGCGATCGTTTGAGCAATAAAACTGTCGTTCATTTGTCGGTTGAATAGCATATGGGTTAAGCTAAATTATATTTATGTACATATTTGTGTACTTATTGTCGCTAATTTTATATGTATACGTACATTAGGACGGATTGATTTTTTTCGACATCCTTCCTGGTAGACTTTGATTCTATATTCGACGGATAAAATTGCTTTAAAGTCAGTTTCGAAACACCCACCCGCTTTAAATCAAACAAAGAAGCTAACTTCAATTAATACGAAATTAATATGAA